ACTGTTTTGCCACATTCTGATAAACCTCCAAAAAGAAAGTTCTGTAACTAACTGCCTTTCTTAATTAGAAAAATTGCTACTGTGGTAACATTACCTGTACTGGACCTTGGCAAATAATGTGCTTTTCCCCAGACCCCTTGCTCCACATACATTAGCTACATCAAAGAAAACAACAGTTTCTAATTCCACCTCAATCAGAAATCAGTGGGAATGGAGAACAATTTACTAGGCAACACCTAATCCTCTCTGTGGAACATGCATTATAGCAGTCTTTTGCTTTGCCCAAATACTTATTTTGTTAAAGATCATCACCCCATAATCTGAACAATTCATAATCCTCCATCCAGAAAAAAAAATATGTTTCCTACACTTTGTCTACTGGGAAGACATAGACTCTGAAACACATGGAGTGTTGTGGTTTGCCATTCAGGGGGAATTTGCTAACAGCTGTTAGTTTTTCAGGCTTTGATGTTTTAACTCAAACCAGAAACTAGCAGTTATTTCCACTGAAACAGAAATAACAATAGAACTCATTGTCAGGGCCCTGACATGACCAGACCTTACTGCCCCTGCCCAGCCTGGCCCGGGACTTCCCTGATGTTGCCCATATGCCAGGAGACCCATTTCAGCCCATGCCAGGGCCATCAGTCCCTGCCCCAGTGATGCCATAGGAATGCTGGTCTCCAGCTCCACCAGAGCCCTGCCCTGCCTGGTGATAGGTTCTGCTGACCCACAGGCTGATGTCCTGACCTGTCCTCAGCCTGTCCTTATCCCCATGGCCCTGCCTGGCCATCCTGGGTCTCTGCCTGACTATAGTTCCCCTCACCAGGGCTGACCCTGACCCCCCACACCAGAGCTGATGGCCCTGCCTATCCTTGGCCTGACCCTGTCAACACAGGCCTGCCTGGGCACCTGCCCCTGACCTACGGACCTACTTCCCAACTTGACCTGCCTGATCACCATGAACCCTCCTGATTATCTGAACTCACGGTTGAACCTAGCCATAATCTCTGCATCTGGCCTGCTCTCCTCATGGAGGCAGTTCAGGACTGACAAGCAAGCCCCTGCCTGCAGCCGTGCTATTCCCCCTTGAGCCCCTGGCCCCTTATGGAGCAGCAGGTCTTGTGGCTTCCCAAATACATTAAAAGGAAGATGTCTCGGTGCCAAAGTAAGGACATCTCAATCAGGATCAGGCCGGCTGCAGGGATAACATGCCACCCTTCAGACTCAAAATATATACTACGTTACTCTGCAGAAGTCTCCTCCACACAATACATTTCAACAAAAGTGTTTATTTTCAGAAATAATCTGAGAAGTCTAATCACTCCCCTTTGCCAACCTGGTTAGGCAGAAATCCTAAGCAAAGAATGCAAGAAGATACACAGGTGGCAGGAAGCATGTTATTTACTATGTCAATTATCCTTTGTGCTAACTACCACCTTACCTTTCATCAGAGACATTTTAAAACATGGTCAGACTTCTGACTTGCTCAGATTTGAGCCAGAAAGCTATATCTGTCCAGGTATTGATACTTTCATGATGGTTTCTCAAGCAAGTAAGTTATGAAGCAACCTCAAGAGGAGGGTACTGATCACAGGAGGACAGGGGATTCACTATATCAAGGTTAGAGCATGGGGACTACTCCAGTCATTTGCGTTGGCTTTGCTTCACAAGAGCAGCTCTCACAAGGAACAGCTACAATGCTAGTAAGAATTTTGCCAAAATAGAAAGGCTCTTATTCAGGAATCATCAGAATCAGAAATATTTAGGTCAGATGAAACCTTTGATGTCATTTAGTCCAACCCTGCTTGCCTCTGCTGAGAGCAAGGACAACTTACAACAGGTTGCTCAGGGCCGTGACCAGTTAAGTTTTGAGTATTTCCAAGGACACCACATGATTTGTCAGTCCTACTGAGAAATTGGGCCTCTTTTCTAAGAGACCCAGAAAAGAAATCCAAAATTAAGAATTTTCATGGTGTTTAGTTTTGTTTCAGGCTCTTAAGTAACCAAATAGCCCAGCTAATTTGCAGAGCTCAGCACACTAGACGTGAAAACTCTGCGTGGTCTGCTAAGCGCTCATAAAAGCTTGCGTGCAGCTGGCAGCACCTGGGATTTGTGCAAGACCCACCCACACACACACCCAGTTTATCATTAATCCTACCAGACAGCGCAGAAACGGGATAATCATCCAATTACTAAGACTGGGAGCTGGCTAGATGAGGCATTCAATGGGTCGCATACAGCATCCATGCTTCCCCCCAGTTTGAAGGCCAACAACTGCCACCAAGTTCTGCTTTTCTACAGAAGAATTTAAAAAAGTACCTGCTTAGGACTATTCCCCTAAACAGGTACACCTCAGTCCGACACACAGCTGTGCTGGCAGTAACAACCTCTCATGCTCAGAACAATCCCCAGGTCCTTTAAGACACATTAGCTCTCATTGAAACTGTACTCCTATTAGTAGCTGCTTCAATTTCTATAAATGTAAGCTTCCTGTCACCCCACAACACACGCCCTAAGGGTTCCTGAGCCCCTCATCAGCTTCTTAACAAGAGCCTGAAGCAAAATTCACAAACAGCAAAAATCACCTACACAGGGAACCCTAGAGATGCACTTTTCCTCCGAGTCCAAACTTCAGGGCTTAACGATGAAGTACCGTATTACTGCCTGGGCTGTGCTACAGGGATAATCACCCCAACCACACAATTCACTTGGGAGCCCTCCCCATTTGGTGCCTAAGCCACATATCTGATATACCATTCAGAGAGAAAAGCTCACGTGAAGTCCTTTCAAGCAATAATTACACGTGTTTGATACTTTTCACCAGCACGCTCTGGATTTATAGAAGAGAATGTGTCATCAAATGTGGCAAAACCACCCAACTTGTAGAGTTTGTCCTACAGAACACAGAATCATGGAATTGTTGGAGTTGGAAGGGAACTTCTAGAGATCATCTAGTCCAACTCCCCTGCCAAAGCAGGGCTGCCCAGAGCACATCACTCAGGAGCATCCAGGTGGGGATTTAAGATCTTCAGAGAAGGGGACTCCACACCCTCCCTGGGCAGCCTCTTCCAGGGCTCTGCCACCCTCACCCCAAAGAAGTTCTTCCTCAGATTGGAGTGGAACTTCCCATGTTCCAGCTTATGCCAGTTGCCCCTCATCCTATCACCAGGAACCACTGAAAAGAGCCCGGCTCCATCCTCCCTCAAACTACCCTTTAGATACTTATAAGCAGAAGCCAGACTCCTGCTCACGAATATATATATTTTAAAGGAAACCCCTTTACTAATATGCGGTATTATGTAGAGCCCCATGTTCTGCACTGGAGAGGCAGGGCCCCAGGAGGGGCTCAGCAGACCCATGCGGGCAGGGAGGGCAGCACCTTCCCGCCCCCCGGGCCCCTCATGAGGGACATGGGACGGGGACACACACACACACACACCTCAGGGAGCATCACGGAGGTGGCACCACCTGATGCGGTGACACCGCAAATGCCGGGCCCCGCAAATTAGAAACGAGCTCGGGAGTTAGGGGGCTCCTACCGAGACGACAGCACGGCAAAGGCTCCCTTCCAGCCCCGCTTCGCCACCCCGCTCCCCGCCAATGCCCAACATGGCTCCCGGCGAGGCAGGCACCCACGAACCCCCCACGCACGGGCGGGCTCGCCGGTCCGGCGGAGACGCTACACGGCTACCCGGAGGCGGCCCGGCGGCAACTCACCAAGCCAGCTCGACCAGTCTCGCCCGCCCGGCGCTGCTCGAACACAGCAGCGCTCCTCTCCCGGAGAGAGAACGACGGCGAGAGAGCCCGACGCCCACCACCAGCCCTCAGCCGGTACCCGGCGGCAGCGCCGTTCTCCTCACAGCGATATCCCGCCCCCTCCCCGCCGCGCGGACCAATCCCCGCCGCCCTCCCCTCCCCTCCGCGCCACCCCATTGGCGGAGCCCGCTCAACCCATGGGCTGAGGAGACGGGGTGGGCGCTGAGGGAGCGGCGGCCGCTCCCCGGGGCCGCGCCTCCGCGGGAGGGGAACGGCGGGCACCGCTGATTAAAACAGGTCGGCGTGAGCCCGTAGAGTAATATTCACGGGCGTTTTGCACAGAGTGATTTTAACTGCGAGGGGAAGATGGAGTTCCCGCCGGGGAGGGGCGTCCCGGCCCGCCCCGGAAGCGGTGTGGCCGCCATGGGGCGGTGGGTGACGGTGGCCACCAGCGCCCTCAGCCAGCGGGCCCTGCATTTTTGAGGGGAACCTGAGGAGGATTTTTCCCAAGTGAGTGGGGCGGCGGTACCTCTCTCTCCCTCCTTCACTCCTCACGGGGGGATCCGGGCCGTGCCGGGTTTGGCCTGTCCGGTTCCCGGGGGCTCCCTGTCAGGGGAGGGCAGGCCGGGCCCAAGCCGTGTTTGATCCCAAGCCTCTTCCAGGTGTTGACACGGGAAAGGGCCGACCGAGGAGCCTGGTACCGGCTTGGGCCAGAGCTCAAAATACGGTAAGAGCGTGTGACACGTTCCCAGTTAATTACCAGAGAATGGACGGTGAGAGAATCAACCACATAGCACTGGAATGGCCAAAGCAGGTGGCCATGGGTGCAAATCAAAGTGTAGCAGCTGCAAGCACAAGGTTTGGGCCTTGTGTCTTGGAAACGTGACTGGTTGTAGGAAAGTGATGGAGGATTGGCGCGGAGGGCTGTAAATATGCTCAAGTGACTCGCATGTGGGGTGGCTGGAAAACACACCTATCACACTAATTGTTGCTTAGTTCTGTGCGCTCAAAAAGTAGAACATCTGCACTCAGATAACATAGGCCTGGGATGGACTCGGGCACCTTAGCGAACACGCTGGAGATTCCTGCCCTCCTGTTGAAGAGATCAAAGCACAGTGGAAAACTCTGCCTGTCTGAATCCTTCAAATACAGGCCCAAACAGCGAGTGGGAGCTCTCTCATTCCATCACTCCCTTGCTAACAAGGACTCTCTTGCTAATAAGGACTCTCTCTCTGCTGCAGCCCCTGCTTGCCTGCCTCTGCCCGGGTGCTGCTTCAGAGGTTCCCTGATCCATGAGGTATTGAGATTAAATTTATTCTTTGCCCTTAATCCATGGTTTTGTGGTTGTTCCCGTGTCCTGCCTGCCTCGGCTCACACACTGGTGTTACAGCAAACCAGCAGATAAAACTTTCTAAGGCTCAATTTAAAAGCTTAGAAAGCAGGCATGCTTTATTGTGGCGCCAGGGACACGGGGGATAGCTCCTCCTGTTGTGTGCCCCGAATGCTGTTGTCAAATTAAATTTATACGCAACAGGTATATATATTCACTGTAATGCTAAGAAAACATTAGCATATTCATTACATTTCCAAGAATTCATTTACATATTATTATAAGCTTTTGGGCATGTGTAGTTGTGCCTTCTGGTGGTCCTCATTTTGAGTGAGGGTCGTTTCTTCCTCAATCTTCATCTTCTTCCCTTGCTCTTTGGCTCACTTTTCATGTTGGCAAAACGTCCTAACTGCTTAATTGCTCATTAAAACTAATGATCTCTTTGTTACCACCTGTTTGTCAGACAATGTCCATATTTATTGCATCCCTGTCTTAGGTCACCATGTTCTCAGGGCCACAGACATCCTTTCTTATCTTACTAAGTCCTTGAAACCGTTTGGGATGGTTACTAAAATAGCTACGTTTCTTCTCTTCAAGAAGATTCTTTACAGTTTAACCATTTATAAACTACATAAAATCTGCCTTAGGTATCACTGGTGCCGGTAATTTGTTGACCGACTTCAGCGAGTCTTCCTCCACAGAAACTTGGGATTCCACCCAGGCGCCAGCTGCTGCTCCTGGAAGGAACGTCCCAGCGATGCCACGGCATTTTGGGTGCTGTTGGTAGGGGTGATGCTTCTGCCCCTTCTGTGGAAATTGATGAGATGTTCCTTGTCGGAAGCAGTTCTGGCCCCTTGGTTCTAGTGCAGGCGTTGGCTGAATTTTTTATTTCTGGTGTTTTTACGTGCAGTGGTGGTGGCTGCTTGGTTAACTGTTATGAGTCTGACACCTTCTTGCATTCAAGTTTTGGCATAGCTGTTGGAGTCTCCAGCTACTCAAGATACTATCTGTGATGTGGGAATGTAAGTGGTTTTTTGTGTGCGAATACGACAAAATGGAAGGTCTTTAGGAGTGCTGCCTCGGCAGTTTTTCTGGATAGTGAGGGCTCTGCACCAAATTTGTAAACACATCTTTGGAACTGCTCTACTTTCCCTTTTAATTACCACAACTAGGACTGCGACATGCAAAACACTTTCTGAAAGGTAATCCTTTCAAAGATTTCTGGAGGTTGAGCCCATGGAGCCGGTCTTTTTTCAGATAGGACAAGAGGAAATGGGCACAAACTTGAATATAAAAAGTTCTACCTGAACATGAGAAGGAACTTCTTTCCTTTGAGGGTGGCAGAGCCCTGGAAGAGGCTGCCCAGGGAGGTGGTGGAGTCTCCTTCTCTGGAGATATTCCAAACCCACCTGGACACGTTCCTGTGGGATCTGCTCTGGGTGGCCCTGCTTTGGCAGGGGGTTGGACTAGATGATCTCCAGAGGTCCCTTCCAACCCCATGGGATTCTGTGATTCAAGAGAGAAATGGGATAATGACAGTTATTTATTGGGAACCTTAATGGCTGGGGCTGATTGCCATGGGCAAAAGCCCTTCTGCCCTCTGCAACCACGACTGGTCTTTGACAGAAGAGTCAGGCAATGCAAGCAAAGAGATGTTTTTGAGAGTCCTATCCTTGTTTGAGCTAAGACCTGCAGAAAACTGAAAATGATGTGATGGTTTTATTTGTTGGTGGTTTTAAATGATACCTGCAGTATTCACAGCATAGTGTTGCCAGCTCAATGTTTTTCTGCCTTTTGCTTTGACAGCCCTCGGATTGAAATGGGACTTGATGGCGTGGAAATTTTCTCTGACTCTTCAGGGAGTCACCGTGTGCTGCAGAAGGCTCACACCCGGGTGGATTTGGTGAATTCTGCCAGAGCAAAGGTACACACTTTAAAAAAAAATAATTTTTTTTTGGTTATGCACCTTACTTATTTTTTTCAGAACAGTCTCCTCTCCTGTGGCAGGACATAACATGAGCATGGGCGCCTTGACAGTCCTTGTTGTTAGTTTCTTTCCAGGTTTTCATTCACATAGCAACATTGTGTTGGAGAAATATCAATAATTCTATCAGGAAGGGGGAATAGAAATCAGTACTTAAACTTGGACTTGTTCTCCCATCCCCCTGTTGTCATCTTACTTAAAATATGTAATATTTTTCTACTTTGAAGATTCTGTTTATTTTAAAGAAGAGAAGATGTTTAGTTACTAGATTGCAATCCTGTCTAACAGTCATGGGGACAAAACCAAAGCAACAACTGTACATTACCCTGTGGAAAATAGTTCATTTGTACAACTGCTTTGTTATGGTAATTTAAAATGCCTTGGTTATATTCAGCAGTATCTGCTCTGGCCTCAGATATCCAGACACAGCTTCTGTCCTCATCTTCCTGATTTTCTCAGTTTCAATTTGAACTTAGAATTTCAATTTGGAAGTGCAACCCTCTCTCCTTGGGCTAAGGGAATGACTCTTGCTTATAACAGAAGACTCCTGTCTTCCAACAGTGTGAAAGGGCCAGAACTCACTACATTTACTCCTGTAATTACTTGTTTCTGTCATATATATCCCATGCAAACTACTGATGGAATATATATTTTAGCTAACCAGAATGGCTGTGGTGGTGATTGTGTGTATTATGATGGCTGGGCCGTGATTCCAGTAAATGGAGAAACAGTTGTACGAGGATCCCAGTTTTCACACCATGATGTGGTAATATATTCAACCTATAGCTGCTACTTACAGCTGAAATTAGTACGGCTACATTTATGCTCAATGCTGTCCAGACACTCCGGGTACTAGGTCCATGACTCTAGACAAAAAAAAAAGATGTATTTTTACCATGCTATTCAACTAGATCCAAGGTTTTTCCTAGTCAAATTACCCAGACCTGATCTTCAGTGGCTCTCCTGCTTTTGCGAGCGAGGAAGAGCTGTCACAGTAGAGAAACTTCATCAAAATGTTTGTGTATGCAGTCACCATGTTTAGGAGAGACCCTGTTCCTTTATATTTCCTTATGTAAGAAGAAAAGGGCAAAGGCTGCAGTGTTTGAATTATCACCTGCTTTGCTAGACAGAAAGTTTGATAGGTTGAACTTTACTTCCAAAAGGTCTTTGCAATAGATTTGTCATCAAAGCTGTAGGTTCCCTCACGTTATGTGCCGAATTCCTCCCTTTCCCCAGTGTGCTTCTTGCCTTTTCCACTTGTCCTGTGTCGCTGCTGCTGGTGAACCTATTGTTCAGCCACCTGACAAGAGCTATAAATGTGGTTTATGAGCATCCGTGAAGTGAGCCCGTTGTGCTCGCTTTGTGATCGAAGCGATTCTGCTGAGTCAGAAGCAGCTGGCGAAGTCAGCATAAAAATCTGTATTGAAAAAAGTTGCCCACGTTCTTCTTCCCCAACATTTTTTTGTGGTCCAGGCCTGTCAAGCGTTGTTTATCTGTGTGGGTAGATTCCATCTGATGTCGAAAGCCTTTCCGTAGGAGGTGCTGGTTGCCACTCTGGACTTGGAGGATGTTTGAAGGTACAAAGCAGAGATTTCATCTCATAACTTAACGGTAAGAATGGAGGTTATGTTTGTAAACTGTCAAGTTTGAACAGCTATTGGATCTTAGAAGTGTTTTCATGTCTTGATTTTCACAGATCTGATGCTAAATGAAAATTGATGTTTTCCCAATTCTTCTCTACGATCGCTTAGGCAAGTAAAGTGAGTCCTTATCCCAGGGTAAAAGTGAATTTTGCTCTGTGGTGTTCTGGTGATGCAGCTGTACCTTCGTGTATGCCAGTGCAGTGGAGACATCTTAGTCCTGAAGAGGAAATGTGAGGTAAGCATGTACTCAATCTGTTGCTTGAAAATTACTTTGATTTTTTAAAAAAAAAGAAAAGATAAACTTAAGATCTTACTTATATTTAAGTAAAGAATGTATCTCACCGGAAGAGCACGGTAAATATGTTGACTTGCTTAAGTCTTATTCCATAACCCTCTTGGAATGAGCATATTCTGTAATCCCAGCCTTGGTCCTGCCTGTTGGCTCTGGGACTGCTTAAGGTGCAGCAAACAGGTAAGAACAACTGGTTTTGTTCTCTGCCTTGCATACACGGCTTCTTCTTTGTCACAGGGACAGTACAGATTGCTGTCCTGTGCTGCTGTTAATGCAAAGTGATGTTAGTCCAGGGTGCAAAAAGGATTTAATAGTTCCAAGTTCAAAATGAGGAACAAAATTAGTAATTCTTTTCTTTGATATATGAACAAATATTTGTGGAGTTAGAGGACGGAGTCAACTTACTTGCAAGGGGCAGTGTAAAGCTTAATTGGAATACAAGAAACATACAAGGTATTTGCTACAATTTCCACTCCTCTTTCTTTTGCTCTGTCCTCAGATGTGGACGTGCTGGCTGATGCACACGAGAGTGTGGAAACGATGAGGACCATGTCCCTGAGGATCCTCAAGAATTTTGCAAGCGTATCTTTATCACTTGCTGTACGGGCAGTGGGAGCTCCTCCTGGGATACTTGTAACAGGGCTAAACTTCTGGCTGAGCAAATAAGCAGGTACGAATTGAGAAGGGTTGGAAAAAAAAACCCAAAGACTTTAATCTAAAGCTTTCAAACTCTAAAATAGGAAAAAATGGGAGAGGAATAGTAGGTGTGTTAAGTAGGAGTATTACAAACTTTATTATTTAAGTGTGTAGGTGTGAGGCAAACTTAGCAGTGTTTGGGGAAGGAAATGGAAGTTTGGAAACACTCTGGAAAGTGATATTCCTTATACCATATTTGAGATGGGAGGAGCCTTAAAATATCATCTGATGGGGGTGGGTTTTGTTTTTTTTTTTTTTTTTAATGCTAGTTTTTATAGTTGAATTGTGCTAGTTGAGTCACTTCTGCTTGACTTCTTCTCAGCTGTCACCTCAATCTGAACATAGATGCGGCTGTGAAAGTTGTTGTGGAAATTTTCAGCATGGTGATGGGTTGAAAGCCCCGTTTTTCTGTCTATGGAGGGAGCAGCAGAGAAAACCCGACGCTCCAGAACGTGCAGGTGTGTTTCAGGTAGGCTGGATCAGGTCACACCCCCTTTTTTGTTTTTTTTTTTTGAAAGAGTACAAAATGGTAAAGTAGCATTTCATCTGCGTTGCTGTGAAAACCTGAACTTGTTGTGGTGGGTCCCTGAAGATTCGTGGGCTTCCAGTAAATGCTGGTCTGCAGCAGAAATCTACAATCCCACATCACTCAGGGGAGGACCAAGACAATTGTTGTTTGTGGCTTTCATAGGATGGTCAGGAAGAAGTAGTACAGGCCTGTATCCCATCAGTAGCATCGGTCCAGAGGCTGTTTAGAAAAGCGTTCCAACAGAAAGATGCCAGGGCAGGAAAATGAGCAGCAAAGTATTGTCATAGACAGGTCTGAGACCAGTGGGGTTGTCAAGACTCAAAAATATTGCTGATGTGTACTAGGCTTTCCTTTGGTTAATGCTAGCAGCCTTTAAAAGGCTCTCAGTGAGATGTCAAGCTTACCCATTCCAATTCCTAGATGTCCTCAGTTTTAGAAGGTAGAAGAGAACTTTGTGACTTCTAGTCCCTGCCTCCAGCTGTACCTCTCCTCGTCTCGAGAGCTTGCTTTTCAGCTTCTTCTTAAAAGCTTCCAACCCAACCAGCAGCTCTGCTTTCATTCCGGCTTAATGTTGATTTGATATTTGATATTTGATAGTTTTTTTGTTAGCTGAGGATTTGATCTTTCTTCCTCTGCTATTACTGGAGAAATCTAGCTGTCTTCTCTGGAAGCAAACATTGAATCCTTTATCAGCTTTTTAGGCTTTAGTCACAGGGGAGTGTGGCGATTTGCTTCACAGCATACACAGTTGTGGCTGGAGGTTGAATCTCAGGTTGGTTTGGTATTGGTAAGAATTTAGAAAAATTTAGAAAAGGTAGCATTTAGGCATGGGGGACAAAAGAAAAAGAGAACTTTTTACAAATTTTATGTAAGCAAACCCCTTCAGTCTAATACTCCATCAAAGGGTGTGTGAGACAGCTGGGTTATCTGCATACTCCATCCCTCATGGATCCTTATTAGTGCTTGCAGGGGGTAGAAAATGGCAGCTACTCCCTGTTCTGCAATTCAGAGTAGAATAAACTGGCCCAGTCGTGTGAGTCTGTGGCAGCAGCAGATACTGAGCCTGGCTTTTCTACATGATTTCAGCATCTTCTCCCCAAGACCTTCCATCTTCCATTAACATTTACCCCTCTCACATTTTGGTTTTATGGCTTTGTTTAGGGAATCAATTAATAAAAATTTGTAACTTGGCTTTATTTTTCATTTTGCTTTGCAGGCTGATTGTCCCCCTGCCCCCTGTTTGCTCAGCTGGCACTTTGGACTTATGGGGTGCCAGGGGGGACTTCTGGTGCTGGGGCTTCAGGTGTCGGTGAAAGAAATCTAAAACCAGGTGAACTGGGAACAGGACACTGCGTTTCCTTGCAACTCTGCCTAATCCTTTTAGATTATTCCTCAGAATTGTGTAGATCATTCCTCAGAAGAGGTAACAAGCTAAGAATACACCGATAGCAGTGAAATAACTGAAAATAACTGGCCTGCGTGGAAGATTGTGTATTTTTCAGAAGCTTAGCCAAAGTATTGTCAAAGTTTTCCAATAAAAGGCTGTTCCTCCCGTATCTGTTTTCAGCAGAGCTTGCCTGTGCAGTTACCAGCTTAACTTTCCAATCTGTTTTGTATTTTCAGTTACTGTAATAGAAATTAAGTCGTGAACTTTGAGTTGAAATACAGATTTTAAAAGTCTGCAGTAATTAGAGCTGACTGTTTGAAGATTAAAGAAACCCCCATTGTGAGACTTCGAACCTCGAAAGCTGGGAGAGTAGCGTGTGCAGATTCTCTAGGTGTTTTGAGGTTTATTTGTCTATAATTGGTCAGGACAACTACCTCCTAAGGCTGTTGGGTAATTAACTGTAGGATATTGTAACTCTTTATGATAAAGCAAAGGGCTGGTGAATTACAATTAGTGGTTTTCTTAATTTGGCCTTACATTACTGATAGATACTACATTTAAGCTACCTAGAAGAGAAAATTAACAAATCTTTTGCAGGACATAAATGTTTTCACTGGCCAAAGCAAATACCTTCATAGAATGATTTCAAACCTCCCACTTCAGAGAGATTCCAGTTAGGGTTTTTTTGTTTGTTTTCTTTTTTTTTCATTCTGCTCATAGTATTACTATCTCTTTGTCTTTTTGGTCATTGGCAATTTCATTTTGGTTGTTTCTTTGATGAAACTGGGTTATTGATACCAGATGGTTAGATATCTGGTTAGAGTGAATTACAATTAGTGGTTTTCTTAATTTGGTCTTAGGTTACTTACTTAAATACTACGATTAAGCTGCCCTACAATGGAAAATGAACAAATCTTTCGCAGGAAAGGAATGTTTTCACTGGCCAAATGAGATACATTCAATTCCCATACACCCATGGAAGGATTTCAGATCTCCCATTTCAGAGAGATTCCAGTTGTTTGGGTTTGTTTGTTTGTTTTTTTTTCTCCTGCTCATACTGCTACGATCTCTTTGACTTTTTGGTCATTGGCAATTTCATTTTGGTTGTTTCTTTGATGAAACTGGGTTATTGATACCAGATGGTTAGATATCTGGTTAGAGAGCAGGAAGAAATTCTTTGCTGTGAGGGTGGTGAGGCACTGGAACAGGTTGCCCAGAGAAGCTGTGGCTGCCCCATCCCTGGAGGGGTTCAAGGCCAGGCTGGATGGGGCTTGGAGCAACCTGGTCTGGTGGGAGGTGTCCCTGCCCAGGGACATTGAATTATAAATCGCATAGTTAAGATTTTTCAGTGACTTCTCTATGCGTATGATTTCAGGCAGATCTGGGGATGACATAATGCAGAGCTCTCAATCTATGGCAAATTGAGAAAAAATGGCAAAGCCTGATCCCTGCAGTATATCCCATGAGCTCATTAATAGGTGGAAGGAAATGTGTACTCTAAGAGAGGTAATTTATCAAAAAAAAAAATAAAAAAAATCATGTAACGTCTTTACCAAAATAGAGTGTGTTTGGGGGAAGGTTGAGCAGAGTTCCTCTTAACTGAAAGGGATAGTTTAATAATTAATCTGTGTTTAGAGATTATTCTACAGCTGTAGCAGAACATGCTGGAAAAAACTGGTGCGTCTCTTAAATGAATGGAGCTTGTTGTCTGCATCGCAGATTGTTTTAACAGTAATTGGATAATTTGAAAACAGTTACTTCAGAACTTTACCTTCAGGGGAAAATTCTTCTCCGAAATATACATGGCTGACTCCTCTTGAAGCCTTTGCTTACGCGTTCTGACGCTGAAAACAGCTCTTGCTTTTAAAGTCTTTATTCACACTGGAGAGGTATCTGCTGTTGGGGCAGTTCTTCCTTTCTTGGGCATGAAGGAAGAAGTTCAGCTCCTCACCTGGATGGCAGGGACTGGTGCTTAACTGGTGACTCTTCTTAGGAGGCACTTCCTTATTGGTGAAGGCGAGGCCGTGTCTGAAAATTGTCTAAAACGCTTCTTATAGGTGGGGTCATCCACAGTGATTCCTGCTGCTGGGGGTAGGTCATTTAGGAGAGGCTGAGGGACTTGGGGCTTTTTAGTCTGGAGAAGAGAAGGCTGAGGGGGGATCTGATCAATGCTTATAAATACTTCAAGGGAGGGTGTCAAGAGGATGGGGCTGGTCTTTTTTCTGTGGTGCCCAGGGACAGGACAAGAGGAAATGGGCACAAACTTGAATGTAAGAAGTTCCACCTAAACATGAGGAGGAATCTCTTTCCTGTGAGGGTGGCAGAGCCCTGGACCAGGCTGCCCAGGGAGGTGGTAGAGTCTCCTTCTCTGGAGACATTCCAAACCCACCTGGACACGTTCCTGTGCAACCTGCTCTGGGGGGACCTGCTTTGGCGGGGGGGTTGGACTAGATGATCTCCAGAGGTCCCTTCCAACCCCATGTGATGCTGTCATTTACTTACATCTTAATGAAACAAAACAGATGTGTAAAGCTAGAACACAGTCTCAGCAAGGTTTTTAAGCACCAAGAATCTTCATCTGATATTCTGTGTTCTATATTGTTTGTACACCAGGTGGCATCAAAGGTTAAGCGTTTCTTCAGGATCTGTTCCATTGACAGACATAAAATGACCCCCCTCCTCCTTCCTACCCGGCTGAAAACCCCGGCCCAGCTGACAGCCCCATTGACCTGAGGCTTTTCCTTTACATATTCCTTTGTACCACCCCCTGGGCCTGGCAATTCCGGACAAAAGGCAGGAAGAATTCCTTGTCTGTCAGCAGCAGCCACTGCAGGCTTAGCAACAACTCCTCTCTGTCGGGGAGTGCAGTGACAGGACAAGGAGTAACGGTTTTAAATGGGAAGAGGGGAGATTTAGATTAGACACCAGAAAG